TGCACACAGGCACTGGGATACAGACGAGAGGTGTGGGGGTGTTGAGAGGATCCCCCAGAGACAGAGTGGGGAGCAGAACAGGAGGGTCTACTGAAATGCACTGCTGAGGGGAGCAGCGGGGAGACAGGAGAGGTCTGCTGTGCCCTGTGGGTCACTCCCAGGCCGGGAATCGAACTCATGCTACAGTGTCTGTGGATAGCTTCACAGGGCTGAGACTTAACCCTTTGTGACTCCAAGGAGGGCCTGCTTAATATATATTTTATAATTACATGTAAATATTCATAACCAACTGAAAGAGAATACTCAAGGCCACTGCAGGCCTCCTTTCTGTAACCTCTCATTTCCCGTTCTGTGTTCCCTTTGCCTTCAGGAAGCATTTCAACTGGTCCTGTTCTTTACCTGGTAGGTCACCCAAACCTTAATTCCTGAAGGCTCTGGGTCATTTGTAGTCCTTTTAGACTGAGTAGTTTTCTGTTGCCCTTACTCACAGATGTCCTAAAGGATCACTTGTATTCCAGACATTGCTTCCTTAACTTTTCTGTGGAGTAACATTCCATTTTCTGCTTCACAGTCAGAATCAATCACCCCTAGCTAACTCAGACCTACCTTCTTCACTTCTTGATTCAGAGGCCTTATTGGTCCAGAGTGACTAGGCAGCAACCTTAACTTCCTGTAAGGGAATGATTGTATCTCTTGGTGAAAGCCTTTCTCCCTTTAGAACTAAAACCTCTAGGCCAGCAGAGCATATGGAGAAGGAGCGAAAATGTTGCTAGTGGGTAACTAGTGGGAATAATGACTGGTGCCCTGGCTTCCCTGGTGGTGCAGAGGATTAAGTCACAGCACTGTGAAGCTGTCTGCAGCCAATGCAGGCTGAGTTCTATCCCCAGCCAGGGAGCTGACACACACAGTGCGGCACACCTCTCCTGACCCGCACAGAGCTCCCCTCAGCAGTGGACTTCAAACTGCCTGTTTATCTATTTATGCATAGGCATAATCTTAAAAAAAATTTATTTATTCATACAGAACTGGAGTACAGGCCAGAGGTGCAGGGGGGTGAGAAGAGTCACTAGAGACAGAGCGGGGAGCAGGTTGACTGAAGTACACTGCTGAGGGGAGCAGCGGGGAGACAAGAGAGATCTGCTGCGTCCCCATATGTGGTCAGGGATGGAACTCAGGTCATAGGGATGGTAGCGCTGAGACTTAACCCTACCTAGACCACCAGGGAGGCCCTGAAGAGTGGTTTCTTAGATTTAAACAAGAATGATGCACATAAGAAAAAAATCAAGTCCTTCAAAGGACAAGGTTAGAAAGTGAAAAGACAACTCAGAATTGGAAAAGATATTTGCAAACTTTTATCTGATGAATCTAGTTTCTACAATATAAAGAGAAAGATAACCCAATTACAAAATGCATAAAGGATTTAACAGACATTTCTCCAAAGATGTATAAATGGCCAATAAGCACATCAGAGGATTTTCTACCTTAGTCATTACAAAACCACTATGAAAAACCACTATGAGGGGCCTCCCTGGTGGTGAAACGGTTAAAGCACAGCACTATAAAGCTATCTGCAGCATGAGTTCAATTCCTGGCTGTGGTGACCCACAGGGTGCAACAGACCTCCTGTCTCCCCGCTGCTCCCCTCAGCAGTGTACTTTGTCCATCTGCCTGTTCTGCTCCCCACTCTGTCTCTGGGGAATCCTCTCACCCCCTGCTCCTCTGGCCTGTATCCAGTTCTTGTGTGCATAAATAAATAAATCTTTTAAAAATATATCCAAATAAATAAATAAAATTGTGAGTATGAAAACCCCAGAAAACAGACCTGAGACCTGTGGCTTTCCAGAGGGGTGGGGAGAGGGAGTGGGAAGAGGAGAGGAAGTAGGGGGCACACAATGGTCTTTGGTGCCTCGACGGTAGGAGTGCTGTGGTGACTACACCTGAGGTGGGAACCGGGCACTGTCAAGCACTGGTAAGAATGTGGGAAAGGGTGCAGCAATAACAATAAATAAAGAATAAATAAAATTTTCAGCCCCTCCCCTCCCCACTTGTTAGTGTGAGGATATGAAGAAACTGGAAACTTGGTAGTTGCTGGTGGGAATGTAAACTGAGGCAGCTGCTTTAGAAAAAGTCTGTCAGTTTCTCAGGATGGTAAACATAGGGTTACCACATGACTCAGCAGTTCCACTCCTTGGTATGTATCATGAGACTGAAGAACAGTGTTCACATAGAGACTTGTATTTGAATGTTCAAAGCAAATTACTCATAATAGCTCCAAAATGGGAACATTCCAACTGTCCGTCAACTAAAGAAAGGACTATCCAGTCAGTAAGCTATCAGTTAAAAAGGGAAGAAAGTACTGATATATACAACATGAGTGAACCTTGAAAACATAATGCATAAGCAAAAGAAATTAGACACAAAAGGTCACATATTACACAATTGCATTTATATAAAATGACTGTAACAGGCAGATCCACAGATCAGAAAGTTAAGACTTGCCAGGGATTGGTGAGGGTTAAATGGGAAGTGATGTCTCATGAGTGACAGCATTTTGGGGTGAGGGAAATATTCTGACATTTTCCGTAGTAGTTGAATAACTTTGTGAGTATACAAAAAATCACTTAATGATATACTTTAAAAAGTTAACATTTCAGGTACGTGATTGTACCTGAATTAAAAAAAAAGAAAAAACTGGGCCAAAGGACATAACTGTTACAAAGTTAGGGAAGAGTAGGGAAAGGGAGAATGAGGGAGAGAATAGAATTCTGTTTTGGACACGTTAAGTGAAATATTGATCAGACATTTCGAAGTGGATTTATTAAGCAAGAGATATTAATTGGCAGTTCAGGGGAGAGGTGGATTAGATACAAAATTTAAGGAAACCCTATTAAATATGTAATACATTTAGCATGGTGCTTGGAACACAGTAAGACCTATAACTGTTGGTTATTCTATGTTATTTTGTATGTATAGAGTAATAGCCAATTGTCTTAGGATCCTTTCCTCTAATAGTTTTTAAATATTTATTCATGCACACAGAACTGAAGTACAGGACAGAGTTGCGGGGGTGTGAGAGGCTTCACCAGAGACAGAGTGGGGAGCAGAACAGGCAGATCAACGAAGTACATGGCTGAGGGGAGCAGCAGGGAGACAGGAGAGGTCTGCTGTGCCCTGTGGGTCATCTCCCTGGCTGGGGATCGAACTCTCCGTGAAGTGGCTGCAGCCAGCTTCATGGTGCTGGGCTAAACCCCCTGTGCCACCAGGAAGGGCCCAACCCTTCCTCTAATTTGTAACGTGACCTCTGTTATATAGGAATCTTCTTTATATGTTGAAGCTCTGTTGCTACCTTTCTTTCAAGTAGGAATTGTTTTAAGGGAGAGTAGAAGCCAAGACTTCTAGTGACTTCTCTGATGATTTGCGGTCACAAGAACACAAGATTCTCTTTGCTGCCTATAGAGAAACCCCCTTTCAGGGGATGCTCTGAGGACAGATGAGATTCTAGGGAGGACATTCAGAAAACTTAGTAATTAAAGCTGCAGAAGGAAGTTACTGAGGGAACAGAGATTCCAGAGGTAATATTTTGAGTCAACTCTCCTTACAATCATACTTTGTGGTAAAAACCACTTAACATAAAATTTACCATTTTGGTCGATATGAGAAACTTTTGACAGGGTCTCCCCAAGGTTCTCTCCTCACAGTTCAACTCCTGGTTCCACCACGACTTCTTCAAAGAGGCCCCCCGCAACACCCAGATGCTGCCCCACTTCTCCCTTTTCATCACCCTGCAGCACTCTTCACTGACTGACTTATTAACCATTTCCCCAACACCACGAAAATGTAAATTCTACAAGAGCAGGGCCCTCCCTGGTGGTGCAGTGGGGAGTTAGATCCCCGCCCTCCCCTCCAAGCAAACCCACATGGCGCAGCAGACCTCTCCTGTCTCCACACTTCTCCCTCGGCAGTGTACTTCATCCGTCTGCCTGTTCTGCTCCCCACTCTGTCTCCGGTGACTCCTTCGCCGTCCCTGTGCCTCTGGCCTGTACCCCAATTCTGTATGCATAAGTAAATAAATCTTTAAAAAAAAAAAAATTCTACCAGAGCAGGGACTTGGGTCTACTGTCTCCCCTTACCCTAAGTGGTGCCGTTCATTAAGTATTTGTCACCATTCTTGCTGAGTAATAAATCTAGTGCTATTTTACCCTCAGGCAGTTTTAGCTACTGTCTCACTTGACATGACAAATCTTAGTGAGGAAAATGGGATTGCTAGCCCAATGTGAAGATACTCCGAAGTCACACCTGGGGTCTTCGCACCTGAGACCCCAGGCGGGGGTCGTTGGGCAGGGGGCCTGTCTTCCCCCAACACATTCACATTCCAATTAATTCCAGTTCTCGAGCTAAGGGTATTTCACGCTACTCTACCATTCAGTTGACCCTGGAGGGCAGTAGGAACAAACTGTCCCCTTTTTTCCATTAGCCAGTGTTTGCGGTTGAGCCCCGAACCCCACAACTCTCCCTGCCCCACTCCCCACCCCGTAAATACAGTCGCACACGCAGCAGCGATTATGGCCACAGTGATGCTATTCAAAGTGCCAAGAAGAAATGCACCGACTTAGCTGCCTGAAACTGAATTCCCTCGCAAGCCCGCCTCGGTTTCGCCCAACTTTTTGCTTTTCAACAGCTTGGGGCGGTCTAAGCGCGCCTCGTTTTTAAGCGTGCTCCTTCGAGACTAGGTCTCTCTCCGCAGTATTCACTTCGCCGCCGCGGTCCCGCGGCCGCAGGCACCTGCGGACATCAGCTGTCCCTGACCCCACACCCGCCGTCCGACTGGGGCGAGCCGGGGGTACCTCGCGCGCTCGCCCCCAGCCTCGCCCCCCCAAAGCCGGGCCTTCGCCTTCGCGGAGCCCCGCCCCTCGGCCCCTTTCCAACGCTGTCCCCACAGATCTCGCCCTTCCGCCCCCCCACCCCCACCTCTCGCGAGAGGTGAGCGCGCCTGGCCGGACGAGAGGAAAGTATCTGCTCCGCTGAGGGGGGAAAGAAGAAGCTGGAGACAGATTGTGGGATCGAGCGCGGGCGGGCGGGAGGCGCCGGAGCTACCAGCGGGTGAGTCCTGTTAACATTAACTAGTCCATGGTCTGCCGGGAGTCTCCCCTCCAACTCTGGCCAGTCCCGGTGTCCCAGGCCGGGGTCTCCCCTCCCAGTCCGTGTTGGACGGGGGCGCTGAGGCGGTGGCCGGGCCCTGTCTGAGGAAGAGGGTGGGGCACGGACCAACGCTGGCCAATCAGAGAGAAGGAAGCGGCGATGGGCGGCCACGAGCACTAATGGGAGAGCGTCTCTGCCTTGCGGAGTGCCGCCCCCCTTCTCTCTCCCGCCTCCTTCCTTTGGGGGGGAAGGCGGGGCCAGAGGCCTGAAGTGTGGGGAGAACTTGGGGTAAGTAGCCCCCCGAGGGGGGGCACAGGGCGTGGCAAGGAGAGGGGAGTTGAATCCGGAGGGAATAAAGTCTAGTGGAGGCGAGCGGGCCGGGGGGAAGGGGAGGGGCACCAAACTGCTGGGAAACCCAGGGATTCCCCGGGAGTGGGTGGGGGGCTTGGCATGGGCAGGGAGGGGAGGAGGCTGGACGTGGGGACCGGGCGGTGAAACCGGGGCTCCGGCGTTGGCTGCAAAGATAGGGGCCGGGGACGAGAGCCGTGGCATTGCGAGCGGTTCTGGAAAAGGCCATCAGGGACGCGGTACCCGAGAGAGGCCGGGTCGGGCCAGAGCGGGCGGCCGCGGTGGGGACACCGCACCGGGCTGGGCTGAGTGGAAAGGCATCACTTGGGGAAGTTGGGGCAGCCGGGGACCCCAGGGAAGTGTGGGAACGATCCGCTGCAGTGGACTGGGCGGTAGCCTCGGCGTCGGAAGCAGCGGGGCTTTGGTTTGGGGCCGTGGGGGGGTTGTGGCACAGGCTGGGGACCGGCCTGGGCGGGGGAGACGGAGACTCCGGACTCCGTGGCCGCTGCGACTTCCTCTCTCTCCCCTCTGCCCGGCCGCCTCCCCTCTCTCGGCTCCGGGACGGGGGCTTGGGACCTGCACGGTGCACGGCGGAGCCTCGGAGGGAGTCGGTGTTGCTCTGAATTGCGTGTTGTGTTCCCTGACCGGGGTGCTCACTGCCGAGGGCACCTCCTACCCCAGATCCCCGCGCTGCTGCTTTCCTAACGAAAAGTTTGTTTTCTACTTAACAGAGGGTGGTTTTAGTATGTTTGAGGGTTGTGTAGGTTTGGGGTGGGGGTGGGGGGAGGAACGGTAGAGTTTTCTCCACAAGTCACTCGATCCCTGTGTTGAAAATCTTTGCAGTAGTGTGATTCTGGTAGTGACATCAGTTTTGATAGGTATTCTGTGCACTAAAAAAATACACAAACAGAAGTTTTTATAAAATGTGCCTTACCCACTTCTATTGAAGAGTGGCTACTTGCACGTAGTTGCTTTGTGTGCTTTTAAGATAGTCTCAATAAAACAGGTTACATATTTCAGGAAAGTAAACAAGAAAATTCAGTGTCTTCCTTAGTGTCCAGATTCAAAAGCTAAAGATATGTCATAATATCTTAGGGCAAGGGCTGGGGAAATCAAGCACAATTTGTACTTATACATGGAGGATGTCAGGTAAGTGGAGATTATTGCGAAATGTAACATGTCTGTAAGAAAAGAAGCTAAAGAAAAGTTTGGCAGCTGGACTAAGTAGTCTTACCAGTTTGTTCTTAAGTCTCTACAGAGAAGGGACCAGCCTTCGCCCATTGTCTGATCGTTGTGCATCATTCAATAATGAATTGAAGAACAGAACAACCAATTAATAACTTCTTTACTAGTGCGTAGATTTGTCTTTCATGTTTCCTCTTTTCTCCTTGTACTTTTGAGAAGCAAACTGGCATCTGGAAAACCGGAAAAGCTGTTAGAAGAAGAGAAACCAGAGTATGTGGCTTTGTATTGACCCTTGGTTTTCAGCAACCAAGCAGTTGAAGCTTTTTCTCCGGGCTAGGAAGTTGCCCTACAGCACTGACCAATTAATTACTGACCCTTTAGCGATAATTACTGATTTGGGTTACAGTATTTCACATTCAGAGCATTGCAGTTAGACATTCCTCACAGAGAAACATCCAGTGAGAGATCTGAGTCCCTTGTTTTACTCTTCCATCTTAGAATTTGCAATGACTTTGACTTGGACACTTAATTACGTGCAAGATTATTTTTTCCTCATTAGCAGAAAACTAGAGAGTGATAGTACTACTCATCTTTAAACTTGGGTCAAAGCTTACATCTTGTGATAGTTTTAGTGTTATTTGTGAGCATTTTTGTTTACCATGGCTTTTGTTTATTTACTTGAAGAATTTTCCCCCTCCCCACCCCAACACTGGCCCTCTTCCCTCCTGAGGATTTATTTTATTTATGCATCCAGAAGCCGGGGTGAGGGCCAGCGGTGTGTGGTGGTGGCAGAGAGAAGATTCACCAGAGACAGTGGAGAGCGCAACAAGCAGATCTACTGAAATACACTGCTGGAGAGGGGAGGAAGACTGGAGAGGTCTGCTGCACCGTGTGGGTCAGCTCCGGGCCTGGGATCAAACTCATGCAGTGTCTGACCCCTGTGCCACCGGGGAGGCTCCTAGTCTACTCTTAGGCTACTGCTTTGCCTCTCTGGTTTCTTCCTCAACACAGCTGCTCCGAAGTTCTGAGAAGTTGTTTGTACATGTCAAGACTGAGGTTTCCCTAGGCTTGCAGTGGGAGGGAGTGAGAGCTAGTGCTGCCTCCTATCCAGTCTGATAAGGAGGAGCCTTCTCCTTGCAAGGAAGTTTCAGGTGGAGCCAATAGCATTGTCTTATAAATGGCTAATAAATAAAGCTCTCCTCTTGAAACTAGTTTCTAGGCTGGCATACCATTGTCCCTTTTCCCTTGATAAAGATACTAAAGGTATAGATGTTTCTCTGAGAAAACCAAATGAAGTATTCATTTAAAAAGAAAAAGTATTTACTTTGTTGTTGGTTTCTTTGAAAATGGTATTATGATTTTAAAGTTCGTGAAAAAGTCTTTCAACTCTTTAGAAACATGTCAAAACAGGGCCCTCTCTGGTGGCACAGGGGGTTAAAGCTCAGCACTGCAAGCGATCCCCAGCCACTTCAGTGCAAGTTTGATCCCCGTGCTGGAGGTGACCACATGGCGCAGCAGACCTCTCCTGACCCGCCCGCTGCTCCCCTCAGCGGTGTGCTTCGTTGATCTGCCTGTTCTGCTCCCCACTCTGTCTCTGGTGAAACCTTTCACCACCCTTGCACCTCTGACTTGCATCCCAGTTCTGCATGCATAAATAGATCTTTAAAAAAAGAAAAGAAAAGAAACAGGTAGGTGATTTGGTGATGGAAGCCCACAGGGATTACAACTGAGATGGAATAAGGCACAAAATTATGTAAAAATAAACTATTATATTATTAAAAAAAAGAAGCATAGCAAAACAACTTTAAGCTTCTTGTTTTTAAATGGTGTCTTAAGAGGCTTCTTTTGCAATCAAGTATATTAATGAAATTGTATATATCAGTATTTCTGTTTATTTCAGGTATATTCTCGAAATGTGAAAATACATACTTGGAATCTCTGACGGGCAGTGGTTTAACTTCTGAATACTGTGAGGAAAAGGCCCCTGGTTCATAGAGACCTCGTTCCTTCACTAGACCCGCTTTCAGAGCATCCTTTACCTCATGCTGACGTGCCTTACTTTGCCACTGAAGCAAAAATCCTAACTCCTTATCAACATGGTTGTCTTCCAAGTATTTGATGATGTTGTGTCCCATAAGACATCTTTCTAAAAAAAGACATCTTTCTGTGGTAAACTTCAGTCATTTTTTAAATGACTTTTTTTTAAAGATTCATTTTTGCATATAAGAATTGGGATGTAGGCTAGAGATACAAAGAGGTGAGGATTCACAGCGACAGGAGTGGGGAGCAACACAGGCAGATAGGCTGAAACATACTGCTGAGGGGAGCAGCAGGTGAGACAGGAGAGGTCTGCTGTGCCATGTGGGTCACCTCCCTGGCCAGAGATTGAACATGTATTGCAACAGCTGGTCACAACTTCCTAGTGCTGAGACTTAATGCCTTGAGCCACCAGGGAGGGCCCTTAAATGACATTTTAAATAAAGTTCAGGCTCCTCATAATTTGCCTGAGTTTTTAGGGATTTTTAAATCTAGTCTGAATGTAACATCTCATAGCATTTTATAACTAAAATGTGCAAGGAGACAACTTATAAAACAAACTGCACTTTATGTATCCTTAAAGCTTAAGGACACTTTAAACTATGTAATTGATTTTTTAACATAATTGAAGACAACTATATCCGTGTAGTTGTCATCTTTTTAGTTTTGGTGTATTGTTTGATACAATATTTCTTTAGCCTATTAATCATCTTCCTATCTTTATATCACTGATTTTTAAAACTTGTCTTAGATCACTAGTAAATATAAATAAGTGTGGAAAAAGAGCTTTATAACATTAGTACACTGTCTTTAGGTTGATACTCATTGATTAATCAACCTTTGGGTAAAATCTACCTATTGTTTTGGCCTTCCCTAGTGGCACAAGGGGTTAAGCACAGCACTGTGATGCTATCGCCAGCCTCTGCAGCACAAGTTTGAACCCCTGGCCAGGGAGGTGACCCACATGGCACATCAGACCTCTCCTGTCGCACCCACTGCTCCTTCCAGCAGTGTATTTCAGTCAATTTACCTGTTCTGCTCCCCACTCTGTCTCTGGTGAATCCTCTCATTCCTCCTCCCCCCACCACTTTGGCCAATTCTTGTATGCATAAAAAAATACATCTTATAAAAACTACCTATCGCTTTATCACCTAACCTGTCTTTCCTGTGAAATATCAAGAAGTGTCCTGTTGAAATATAAATATATTCTGTCTCTGACATATCCTTGAACTTCTTGGCTTGTGATCCTCTCAAAAAAGAAAATCAAGTTAGACAGAAGTCTTAATTAGCTATCTTATACTGGTGTTTATATATCCCTATGTCACTTGCCAGTTGTTCATAGATACCTATTTAAGAAGTCATTTTAGAATCTTCCTGGAAAACAGTATTTT